CTGAATTATTTTATCCAGCGACTAAGTATGTAGGCAAGATAAAATCCACAGTAGTAGTTTGCCCTGTACTTTTATATACTGTACTTGGATTTTCACATGTCTATGTATCCTTCTCCATATAGTCTCAGGTATCTTCTATAGAAGTTTATTAGCCATTTGATGAACCTCCAACTTTCTGTTTATTAGTTGGTACATAAATTGTCAGTCACACTCTTAAGCTCTTTATAGCTTTTCTTGCACAGCTACAGTAATTAGATTTTGGATTTCCTAAAATTTCATATCATTAACTTATCCAACAAGCACCATTAGATACGAGAGCAGATTCCATCTCTCAACACAGAATCAAGCCTCGTCTTTAATTCATGACTTTATTCTGTTTTAGTAAGTCAAACTTTGATGCAATGAGCCATAAGGAGAAGAGGCTCTCTTGCAGAGGTTTCTTATTAGCTAGCAATTCAATGATTGGATGGTTCTTTATATTTCTGAAGCCCTTTATATCTAACTTAAGTAGGTAATTATGTGATTCTGTGAAGTTCTCCATTCACATCCCAAGATCCTACACAATATCACTGATAAAAGACAGGAAAAAAAATATGCACAAGGTGGTTGCTTCCCAAAGCATTAAAAAGCCATCCCATTCTCTTAATTTGGGGAGGAAAAGAAAAAGTACAAGAGACATTAGTAGAAATGCCTTACCTGCATTTTTGGAAGCAGATAAAACATATGTTTTAAAAGCTTGGTACCTGTTAAATAGTTAAGGAAAAAAATGACTAAAATTGCCCTTTTTGCTTCATCTGATTTTAATGGAGTTAGAAAAAAGTATATACATCAACATTGGTCACTTTGATAAAAATAGTACTTCCTATAAGCCTGAAAATAAAAACACTGACAATGATCCAAAATCAACGCTGTAGATTTTAGCTTACCTTATTTCTTAAGCTTCATTGCTAAATATTCACTCTGCATTTCATAATAATCTCCCTCTACCTTCCAAGTCACAGTGCAAGCATGAATCATGTACCCTCATTACATGAAACTTAAACCTTGCTGCTTAAATGGCTCCCTCTCAGTTCCTTAGGAAAAGAAAGCTGTCAAGTTTTATAATTATAACTTGAGAAGAAATAATATATTCAAGGGGGGAAAAAACTCAAAACATCCATACTGCCATCTTTTGACAGTGGACAATATCCTCTTGGTATAAAGCAGAATAACTCAACACAATATAAAGTCAGTTATTTGGAACTATACCCACGGATACAGGCTGGTCATTTGGTCCAGTAGGCTTAAGTTGCAAGATTGTTCCATACAGCCAAATCCCTGACAAAAATGTTAACCTTTAAATGCAGCATATTAAAATATTATTGGGCAAAGGGATTGAGAAACAATAATATATATATTTTATAAAAGTGAGTTCACTACCTGGTATTAAACAATTACATTTATATTTGAAGGGAGATAGGATGATGTGCCTCTACTCAGAGCAAGACATTTTAGATATATGAATATCTATTTATCCACATTTAATCATCTAGATTAAATGAACATTAATTTAGACTTAACATGAAATTATGATGTATTTTGATACTTCATTTCATTTTGTTTATTTATAATACACACAGCGTAAAAAAAATGGAGTCTTCAAATGCAGAATTTTCAAATGATATTCTGGTTTGCCTCTTTAAGTTTTGAAGATGAAACATCTGGAAGCACAATTCATATACAAGCTATAAACCAAAAGAGAGGACAGTTTTAAATAATTATGTCAAAGAAATGACAACTGTAGTCTTTGCAGGAACAGGGATGAATAATTACAAAGCTAGGACATAATTAAGCAATTTTGACTGTCGTATTCTTGAGCTGTCATTTTGATGTGAAGCGCTGTCATGCCCAGAAACACACTTCACACCGGACAGGCATCTCCCACTTTGATCTACACTTATGCCAGTGAAATGAGGTCATGGTTTGGTCACTAAACGAGGCTTCCTCATCTGGCTCAATGCCTCTTATCCAGCCAAGCTTACATGATTTTTATTAAAATCAGGCATGATACAATGTTCAATATTTTGACAAAAGAAAACACAAACATCACAGAATAATGAAGTTTCGCTCACTTACATAGAGAGATGGAACAGTGCATTGTAACATTAAACTGTTTTCTAATAAATGACTGCATCTTTCCGTAAGACAGTCATATCACAAACAGATGCATTTTAAACAAAGGATGAAATGAAGCACAGCAAAGAAAGTGCAGTGTTCTGTTAAAAAATATGAAAAAATAGAGAAAAATGAAAGTCTAAAAATTTATACAAAATAAAATATTTATGACTCAGTGATGACTGGTGATTGCTATATACTTTTGCATTTGAGTAAACACAAGCTAGTCAGATGGAAATTTCTTGCTTTTATTCTCATTTTGTGTATTTTTTCTTGGTGGGGTATTTTGCTCTTCCAAGTATTTTATGTCAAGACTAAAATGAAAACAACTCCCCACATCACAGCTTCTTTAGATCATCAATCTGCTTTTTATGCTGAATAAGCCATACCATCTCCTGCTTACCATAATGGAGGAAAAAAAAATAACAACTTAGATTTAGAATTTTTTTTTTTCCCCTGAAAAAGTAAGCCCAATAGTTTACTGTAGATTTTATCCCTGGCAGAACAATATTTCCATGTGACATCCACAAATATGACACTTAAGCACAAAAACTCTGTTCCTGGCAAGCTTATTCTTATATAGTGGGCTCTACACCATAGGAGAAGGTAGAAAAAGTATTCGTCGGAAGCTCATAATCAACAGGCTCTTATATCACTAGGCCAACTTCCTAACAAGTTTTTCTGATGCCTAATGCAAGGTGCACTGCCATCTTCCTCATATTTGCAACTCAGATGTATCTTCTGCTAGCTACTTCCAGAAAGCTTAGAAAAATATTAATATATTTAATAACACTACCTGTTTGTTGCCCATTAAATTAGGCTGGTCGACCTGGTCAAAAAGCTTAATAATTATTGGGAACAGGAACAGATACACAGAGAGCACAAGATTCATTTCCTAAGGAAACTGAAGGCTGAAGAATAAAAACAATTATATATTCAGGATGTAATATATGAAGGAATTTGAAAGCACATTATCTTTGTGATATATAGAGGAATGCTGCCTGAGATAGTCTTTCACTACGGCTATATGTAGAAATATATATATATATGCATCTCTAGCATACATGCACAGAGGGCATTCTATGAGTGTTCTCACATATAAAGAGAGTTTGTGTGCATATATAATATGAGGATGAACATCCCAGAAAATGAGCACAAATTCAAAACAATCTAAAGAGGTTTGCAAGATCTGTTCTGAACCCATTTAAATATTTATTTTGAAGTAGTCATTTTTGTAATATGTATATAATATTATATGATGATGATAATTTTGTAACATCTTAAGAGACATTAATTCATGCCATGAAAAAGCATTTTGCTATGCTATGTACCATCAACAATTTGTACCAAACCATTTACAAAGAAAAAAAAAAAACAGACTGGCAATAACAGCAGCAAATTTGAGCCTTTTGCAAATTTGCTGAAATAAATGTACGCTTTATCATAAGACTTACTGGGTAAATAATTCAAAACTACACAAAAGATTAAATTACAGATATAAAAGACAGATGCTATCCCTACCTCTGTGAAGCAATTTACCCTTAACTATTGACTTAAAAAGAGGTTCCATGCAATACAGTAGGTTCAAGTTCACGAAAGTCACCTTTTTTCTCTTATACTATTAAGTTGGTCAAACTAAACAGCAGACTCATAAATAAACATTTATTTGTCAATAAAATTAAAATAACATTCCACCAGATCTAAAAGATGGATAAAATAATTATAAAAGCAGACAATATGCATGCACCATACCTAACAATTTTTTACTGTATAATTTGGCCAGGCTGAGTAAGGTTTAGAAGGTTTGCTGTGAAGACAACAACTTCAATAGCTTAAAAATAAATGATTTTGTTTATTACATATATAAAAGCTGAAACAGCTAAAGGAAGTGGTAAACAATATATTGAACCTATGCTTATATCAGAACCGCTAACATTTTAATAGTTATAAATGAATCAGTCTGAATTAATTTGCTATGCACTGCAATTGTACTTGTGGTAATGCATTTATCTAGCAACACCGTTATGCTACCCAACAGTGCATTTCCATACATTATTATTCAGCATTATCAGAAATCTGCACTAAATTATTGATGGTATATTTCAGAGAACGAAACAGCAAACAGAAGGCAAGTAGACTGAAAACTTGAGTTTTGAGAGATCTCTATCCGTAGCATTAAAACACCTTGTGAAGGTCAGAGTGCTGTTTTCTTGTCTTGATCACCAATGGAAAAAGGAGGTAAACTGGAGAAATCACATTCGTTCTCTTTGCATTAGCAGCACGCAGTACAAGCCAAAGCTGACGCGAGTGGTACCCAAAGCTAGGATTACAGAAACTGTCTAATGTTGTCAATGTTTATTAGCTTATAACACCTTATTAAATAACATCATGCAAAATTACAATCAGCCGATCCACTGAAAGGCAATGACCACCATAGGTGCGAGTTCTGCTCTACGCATTTATGTATAACATACATAGGAGAAGACAACGCGTCATAAAAATTGCATTCTTCCAGAACAGCATATCACATAGTTGTTATATATCTTTAGACTGGGCAAAAATACTCTTCTGAGTTCAGTGACACCTACTAGTTACTTAATTAGACAGAACAGAGAAAACAGAAATTTGGTAACATAACCACAGTCCAGATGTAACAATAAAGTATGATACGAAACTGCACAAAACTTAACAAGGATTTTGTCCCTCACCCAAGTATAGTTACCAGTCTCACAGCCTGAAAAGTCTTTGTCTATTGAGTCAGCAGAAGATGCAGTCAAGCTGTCACAGTTAATTAAAAATGGTATTAATCAATCACATATTGTTACCGTTTTCATTCAGTCTCTTACCTTAGCATCCTTGGGTTTAACCACTTTCATGAAGGCACCTCTTACCAAGGCTTCCTCTCTCTCCCTCTTGGTTACTTTTCGAGTATCAAGAAATTTCAGGTTTCTCAATTTGTGCAGGACAAAGTATCTGAAAGACGGCAAAACACACAAAATTAAACTCCAGTAATAAACAAAAATATCATCATATGTCAAAATGACTAAAAACCAGCAGCAGTAAAAGTGGCCTTTGTTTCCTCTACCTGTTCACCCCATCTATGGAATCTAGCTTACAATAATAAATTACTGTACTTTACTGTCTCAAATGAAAGTACTCAAAAGTTCCCCATAACAATGGAGCAAACATATTAAGAAAAGATCACTATAGATACATATGTCCAATATGGACATTACTACAATACATGACATATCTAGAAATATAGTAAAATGGAAAATGTTTTCTAAGAAGACAGATTGAAATCTCCAGTGCCTCAGGGTTGTTTTCACCTGAAACATGGGACTTAGAATTACTTAGAAATTCCTTTAACCCAACCAGCACTTCATAATATTAATTTGCCAACACATCTTCAGGATTTTACTATATTTTCCTAAAAACACAATCAGCAATCAATTAGAGACACCATATGAATCAGGGAGTGCAATTTGTTTTGCATCATACATACTAAAACATACTAAAACTCTCCCTTATCTTGAAAGAATGGTATGGCAGCATTCAAAACTGTTGGCATTCAAAACAAGACTCTCTCAAGAGATGGCAAGAAAAGTTACTCCTAGGGTCTGCTCTCAAGGACTACCTTTTGACACAGGCACCATTCTGAAGGACAATTCCAACTTGGTCCTACCCAAGTGACAAGGCTCCCCTAAAGCATAAGGATCGCAGCGCAAGACAGAAGGAAGAAGTCTGCAGGTAGAGACCACCTTTTCTCAAATAGTCAAAGTTCTCATTAGGATTCATCAGTACAGTATGGTCTAGCATAGTCTGCTATGCTATTTTCTCAAAATAAAATAGTTTTCTTGCCTTTTTTTTCCCCTCAAAGAATATCATTGGCTCCTTGCATACAGAGAGAGAGAACATGGCAGAGAAGGAAGAAAATAAAGCACGCAACCATGGCAAATCAAAATATCCAGCCACCTCAAGTACATGTTATTTACGTTCAGTCAACCAAATGTGAAGCAGACATTACAGAGTGAGGAAGTGCCAGACTCGTCGCAGCAGGGGGTAGGAAGGTGATTGATAATATTTCCCATGCCTAGCTGCTTCTCATAAACCTCTAGTCAGTCACAGAAACACTCCTAACCATATCAGCCCCTTCTGACACTGGGAAAAATAAAACAAAACAGTGGAAAACTCTGCATAACATACCTTAGGATATTTCAAAATGGAGCACCCTAAGAAACTGTGGTTGAAAAACTAAGAATTACCTTTTACGCTGTTCTCAAGAGCAGATGGCCATTTGATAATGATTTCAAGTCTTCCTTTCTACAACCAAGCAAAATGTAATGCTGCAAAGAAACCTTTCAGAAAGGCACTCTTCACTGAGGCATCAGCCTCACAAATGGGTAACCCACCCTGAAGCTGTAGACAACTTAATACAAATCGCCAAACTATCAGTGATACAACAGCCTTTCAATAATAATAATAATAATAATGAGTCACTTTACAAACAAAACATGTCCTAAGACCATTTGTTCAGGAATAGCTCCAGCCCCATCAGACTGCCACCCTCCTCCCGGCTTTCCTTGCTGCCCTTGCGGGACGCTCTGCCATTCTGCTCGCCCTACTCTTTCGGGGGAGAAAACATACCCAGCCTCTACGTTACTGGCAGAAGAGCTCCGATGACAACAGATTCTTTCAAATGAAGACATGTGCAGAAGGAAACAATATGTCAAGAGCGAAGAAGAGTGAGGCTCAAAAGGAATAAAAACACCCGCTAAGTGTAGGGTGAGAAAAGATGAATATTCAGGTGAAGAAAACATCGGTATTAGAAAATCAGCAAATGTTTAATGATGGAATGAAATATGCCATCGGAAAGCAGGCTGCAACAGAAATGACAACAGACTAAGACAGCACTGTCGTCTTTGCTGACTTTGGATCACAGCCCTAATGTCAGTCTCTCAATCATTACAAAAGAGCTGAAAATTATAATAGTGTTTCTACAAATGTATTTTTGTATTTTAAGTCATCCTGACCACACTTCACATTAACCAAAATTACCACTAGTGGCGTCTAAATTCAAAAATAAAAATACAGATCCCCAGCCACATAAACTGAAGAGCAAACAACATCACAAGCCAGAGTTCTAGGGTTGTTATTGTTTTGTTTTTAATCATGCTTCTCAGAAGGACACATACTGAAAAATAAACGCTATTAAAGTTATCCCAGCCCTAGAACAAGTTATTTCAACAATTCGGGCCAAAACAGGCTCCTTTTGCTAAAGAAGGGACAAAATTAATTTCCATGGTATTCATAGTACACCATTTTTTTCTTCCCAATATCTGAAAACAAGCATCAGACTTCCTGGACATATTTTAACTAGAAATATGAAGATGCAGCTCCAATCTAAATGTAACACCACTTTGCCATAAAAAATACAGGAAAGGATTACCAGAGCTCTGGAATGAGCACTTTACAATATCAATTCAACCCTTGTAAATTTAATCCAGGGTTATTTGTTGCACAAAATCTCTTTACTGTGATGTACGACTTAGTTACTAAGGTTATCACAGCAGTATCCTAAAGTTGCATAGTACATAAAACATCTCAGTTAACAATGCGGGGAGGTTAACTCCCCCAGATAACCTGCTATCAGAGGGTTAGGCCAGATGACATGCCTCTGTCAGCTTTCAGGAGCTATTGATGGTTCAATCAGTTTGTTTTGAAGGTAAAGTACAACAAAAGGGCACTAAACTTATTCAAACTGTCAACAGGGACTATCTAGAATGTTGCTTGCAGGTAAGTAATTTTGGGTGTTTTAAGACTATTATCAAACACCGATGGCTGCAGAAAAGGACAGCTACTAATAACACAGAATGCAGCCATCATAAAATACTTTATGGCAGGCACTGGGATCTATAAACTGAAGGACACATTGCACCTGTTTTGGACAAACAAATTAGCTGCTTAAGCAAATGCCGTTTAATGAGAAGATCTAAATTTTATATTCGAGGTTTAGAATGGTTTATTTTTGCTTAGAGTTCCTCCCCACCCCATTTATTTATTTTTTTAATCATTCTGAAACTTAGCACTGCTCCAGGTGCTCTGAGATTGCTGTTACAGGACTGTTAAATCCTGCAGCGGTGTGAAGGAAGACTATTATCTGTAGTGATGAGGGAAAAGATGAGCTCTGGCAAGAGAAAAAAAGCAGGAGCACCAAGAAGGTGCTTAGAAACCCATTTATCACTGCCTATAAACTGATCTGCTAATCCATGATGGGCTAGGGAAATGAATTATCTAAAAAAATCTTGCATCTTCTTTTGTCCAGAATCACCTTTCTCCCTCCTCCCCCTGCCACCCTGTACCAAGAGTCCTGGGATATCCATCACACACAAGCATGAATGTGAATCATTTACAGCAACATACAGAGACAGGAAAAGACCAATGGATATCACTTTTCATGTTATTTCAGCTTTGAGTAAGTGAAAATGACAATAAAGATTAACAATTCATTTACCAATTTTGTAAGCGTTGCATGTGATTAGCATTGTTTTAATGATTTTTACACAGACCTGTCAAGATATTGGGAAAGGGGGAGAGGCTGGGCGAAAACGCGCGGAGGAAGGCAGTGAGTGAGTGGGGATTTGCCTGCTATGGACATGGCCAAGTCATCCTTTGAACAAACATGCTGGAATTCAGAAAGGGCAGCTGCTCGATATTGAACAACACACAATTTCAGCTTTTATAATGTAATTCCAGCTTCTGACTTTCTCTACAGCCTTAAATGAGTCTCAGACTTTTAGCCTTAACTCTGCCTTACAAATCAGGAGCCTAAAACTTATCAGTGGGTTACCTTGCAGATACACCCTGTGGATGTTTGTAGTTTTTCAGTGTAACAGTCATTACTTTAAATACAGTGCTTAGGTGTCCCCTCAAAAGAAAACACACCACAGTGATGATTCACACTGCCCCAGGAGAGAGTCTCAGACACCAAGCAAAAGAACTCAATCTTCATGGCTAAGAGTTCCTTAAAGAATCACTTGCCAGGAAGAACGAAAATCCATTTTAAACATACACAAGAAATTCGTCAGTCCTGATCCAAAACATACAGGAGTAAATGACTTCTATGCCAACCACTTTGTTCTGCTAAAAAGCTTCTATATTTTAGTAGCCATTCAGGTATATAAATTTCTGTTACGTTTTAATCAGTTTCTGTAGACTACTCATTAATATTAACTAAGATTTCCAGGAAATATCTGTTCTCGAGCTGCAAAGACCATAACAAGAAAAACTGCATAATGCCACAGCATCCACAGGCCTTAGATTCATTTATTACCTCCCTTGGAAAAGCAGACAAGTTTCAGAATACGGTTGGCCCCATGATATGGAGAGATAATGGCATCACCCTTGAGCCACACAATAAGAAAACCTTAAAAGTGGCAATAAATTACTTTGGGAAGAGTGTTTTATTTTCTCCTACTATGATGGGAAAAGTACAGCAAATCTGGATATGTTAGAGTTTCAGAGAAAATAAACTCTTCCACTGAACCTGTAGTGAAAGACTGAGGTAAGAGCTAGATTGCATGGAGTCCTTTATTTTGTCCTCCTATTTTTATTGTTAAAAATTTCAATATAAAACTGTAAAATATCCTTTAAGTTTAAAACAAAAATCAATTAGGATTTGAAAAACAGAGAAATGTGCACCCAGAAGAATGCAGAAATATCTACATCTCCCCATCTCATGAGAACAGCACTTTTTTTTTCTTTTTTTTCCAGAAAGCATTTACACCTTCGTTTCCTTTCTGCAACATTTCAATGCATCTATCACTCGACTTCCTCCTCAGACCCAGACATAAAATAACATACCTATTACAAACTTTGGAGGTCTGATTATACTCTCCATCTGCATTATTGAAAGCTCGTAGCAATAAACTGAAGTTGGCAAAGTTACCTCAGCACAGAAAGGGCAGAGGTGACAGCACAGGCCAGAAGGAACAAGCAAACAACTTTATGACACTGAAGGGGATTCTCTGCTGTAGCTGCTGCTGCTGCACCACAAAAGAAAGTTTAAACATCCCCCCTCTTCCCCCGACCCCAGCAAACAACAGAGAGCAGGTGACAGAACTTCCATTCGTCTGCAAGCGACCAGCCCAAACACACGGATAAGGATAAGGAGGCCAGGACTGCAGCTATGTTTTGACTCTCTGTGTAGGTCTGAACAAATCGGGGTACTTAGGCCTTCAGTTTATCTAGCTGAAAAGATATTATAATAGTCCTCGCCTATAAGTCCTTACAATGGCTCATCTCAGGTGGAAGTTGCAGGGCTGTGTTATGCTTATTGAATAGTTCTGTGCCTCCGGATACTTCAGAAATGAAAAGGCCTCATGTAAACAGCAAGATTATAGATTGTACAGTCACAAGGGAATATCCCATCATCTTACATGGTGCAGAAAACATATCACAAAAGCACCACAAACTCTAATCCCACTTACTAAAAGGGAGCCTCAGCACTAATTTCAGTGATTTCAACTGAATCGTGTTAATACGATTTTATTTTGGTTAATTAACAAAGTCTTACAGCCTTCTACTGCTTTTTGAGTATGCATTTATGTATTTATTTTACCACCTAAATTCAAGAGCAGGACTATTTAAAATAGAGTAAGTTTTGTATCTTATTTTAAAAAAAATTAAAAAAAAGAAAGAAAAAGGAAAAAAGAAAACACACGGTGAAGCTGAAAACACTGTAAGAGGCCACCAAACTGCACGGAATTAGATCTGAGGGATGGCAATAGCTTATTTTGCTTGAAAAGTTATTCTATAGGAAATGCCTGCACTTCTTTTCTTACTGTCATATCCTAAGAGGACTTCACGAGGTTATCACCGCTTGCTCCCCTGCCAAAGATAGCATATCTAGCAAGTGTACTTTCAAGCTAATTTAAAATAAACTCTGGCATTTGTTTCCACTTGCCCTTGTTTCCATGTCAACAGCACTTAATGAATGCACCATTCCAGGAAATGTCAATACGGAGCAGGGAAGGCGGCGCAGGCCCGGAAAGCCTCCACACGGCGCCCGCAGAGCCAGATCCTGCAAGGAGGGCAGGTGAGGTCACCTGCAGCCCGGCCAACGCTCCCCGCACACCCTGACCCAGGTGATTCTGCACTGCTCGGCAGGGGCGCGTTTGAAGTTTTCCCTGCGCACAACACACGGAGCAAACACGGGGACACGGGAAGCAACTGGCAATTCCTGTGTTGACTCCTGCTACTTTGATCTCCAGGTCACGACCTTTGCTTTCCCTCCCGCAATCTTCAAAGCGGAGATTGGAGAATCGGTTATTTTAAAACACACGCGGCTTTGCGAGCTGTTTTGTGGCGTGTTCGCTGCTTCCTGCTCAAGCCAACGGGCTTTTAAATCTTCCCTATCACCATTATGTTTTGGATCTGCTGCTCTGAATTCCAAGGAGAAGGAACAGTCCCTGCAACTTTCCCTCAAACCCTCATGCCCAAACCCTCTCCCAATACCCCCTCCCAAAGATTCTTTAAAATTAAACTTAGAAAAATATAAAGCAACTTGCAGCACAATATTTTTCACAGATAGACACCACATAACAATGAAAAAAATACACTTTTAAAATCAACCAAATTGATTATAGGAACGTCACAGAACAGAACTTTTCATTTTTTTCCTGTCCATGTAGAAACATCAAAAATAAACATAGAAAGGTTTCCACCAATTAATTCTCCTGTACAGTTGAAAGGCAAGGAAGAACGGTAGACAAGGGGAAAAAAATATACAGTTTCATTTTGATTTTCTTTCAATCTAAAAAACAACTCATTCGAATATAACTATATTTATGAAAAAACTACTTTGAGAAAAGTCTCAACAATGTTTTTAGATCTAATACTTTTCTAATGAAAACCTGCTGAAAAGCATTAGCATTAAATTTCTAGCAGAAAAGGTCCAGCAATGATCCATACGATCCAGATCAGAACACCTTGACACAAGCATAATCTTGCACATTATCCATGTAGTTATGGTAAAATCTAATTATTTTTCAAAGATTTAATATTCCATTTTATCTCTGTTATTAATAACATAGCAGATCACTAAAGCCAAAGCTTCTAAAAATTTGATTTTCCACAACTTTTTGAGGTCAAGAATTGGGGCTTTATGTATCTTTTCAGCTTTTTGGAATGAGAAGATTAAGTAGAGCTTTGATTTCTAGCACCTTCTTTTTTTCCTTTTTTTTTTTTTTTTTTTGGGTTGGGGACAGAAATAGCCTGAACTCTAATTGAACTCAATCGAAATGAAATTAAAACTCAAAGAAAAATTAAGTTGTGGTTTAAATGGTCACTAAAAAAATTTACAAATGAAGTTCCTGTTCAGAACAAAACAAAAACAAATGAAGTTTTTTTGGTACAGCAAAATATTTAAATTAGCCAGGTTCACTGAAACACACTGTTCTGACTTTTTCATGTGGCAAATTTCTTTTAAATAAAAAATACGTATTAAAAAGTTATTTCAACCCTCAAAATATTAAGAAAATGCTGAAACTGGACATTTCAAAGGTTTGCTTTTGAGGTTTGAAATAATATATTTGATAAATCAAATGCTTTCACACAGGAGGATCTTGCTGCTACCAACCGAACTAGAAAAATTCACACGTCCAAAATATTCTAAAACATACTACTCTAACTACCTAAATACTCAACACTGTCCCATAAGTCCCACCTTTACTCATACAGGTAAATATGTCCAGCTAAAGATAAGTCCCTATACCTTTGGGTTTTGAATATAATGCCTAGCAAATAGAATCTTACACAACGCAACAAATAATTGTGGAAAATGATGAGGAAGCTCTCATTTCAGCAGCAAAATCATAAATCATTCAACTAATCAGAAGTCCGTCCTTTCTTAAAAGAGCTTTAATTGACCTAGTTTATACAGAAAAAATACTCAAGTTTTTGAAAGAAAATGGAAAAGGAAAAAATGTTACTGTTTCCCGCAGATGCATAAATACAATCACTTCACACTTTTGACACAGTGGTTTGCCACAATGTGACCTAAAACTACCTTGACCTCCCTGAAATCAACATTTTGCATTGAAATGAAACAACAGACATGCTTGTTTTGATGTATGGCTGTGTGACATATTATAAATATTACATCACATAACCACAGAGGATGTCAATCAATATTTTTTTTTTCAGACAGCACTAAATGAACCATGAGTTCTTGCCTCTGAATGGTTCCTTTAAGGTACCACTTTTGCTTAAATGATTAATAAGAGACATATTGTCAGAAAACATACTTAAAGTGAAAAACAGTAAATTGTAGAAATATCATTCATTTTTTAAGCAATTCCCTAGTGCAAATGCCACATAAATTTATATAGAGACAGCACTATTACACTCCTATAAGCTGGATGGTAAGCATACCTTCCTCTTAAGGGTGAAAACAATGAGAAAGTATTTTATTAAATCTAGGCAATCTTAGTAAATAACAAAATGGCACGAAAATGCTGAATGCAAAAGTTGGATTGTTAGAAGGTTCAAATATTGAGGCTAATGATAATCTAGCACTTCTTCTCACAAATCCAGACTAGTGAACACAGAATATTCACACCCAAGACAGCTGCGTTGCTGCCAACTCTATGAGCACAATTTCAACCCGCGGCATTTAGCAAAACTCAACTGCAGTGCCCAATTCACGCTACTTTCCAATAAACCTGCCTTCAGGCTCCTCTACTTTCTACTATGTTTTAAACCAACTCCTACAAAAGACTTTGGATTATTTGAAGAGGTAAACAGATTTTTATAATGTAACTCTAAATTTCACGGATGACCTGCTAATAAGAAGGAAGTTCTGTCTCTGCAAGGTTGGCAGCAAACAGACCAGTGCTGCTTGGCTCTTACTTGCCTCACACAGAGCTATTTTCAGCCAGTGTGGAAAATGCCAGAGAATGAGGACTGAACCCTCGTATCAGACGTGACTGAGAAAAAGGAGCTGTGATGACATCGCATAGAATTTTGCTATAATTAATGTCTCACTTGCCTAAAGGCTGCAGCTACAAAAAAGTGACCTCAGCAAACATTCCATAAGTCTTGGATCTATCCTCAGTGATCATCGGCCAAAGCTATTTTTATCCTCCACTTCACCTTCCTCCTGCTCCTGCCAAAAAACACTCTTCTAGGCATGCAACTAACTCTCATAAACACTTCCATTGAGCAGGTAATATTTTATCAGACTTATGTATTAATTTCCAGATGATCTTTTGTCTTATTTAGCTTGTTAAAGTTACATTGTAGAAGTATACATAGATGATCATATATGATATGTAAATATAAATTACTTATATTGCTTGCTTAATTTGGTTCTAAACACTAACTACTTTCAGTAAAAAAGCACATTATATGAAGATGTGCTTTCTTCTGTGTTCCTTAATAGTGCCTTGATAATTCAGTAAGAGAAACACATTGCAAAAACCGTTAGCACTAACTGGCTATCTTAGTGCAATGATTTTTTATTGACTATCACCCTTCTTGTAAGTGTTGCCTTACCCTGGCCTTAAAGAAAGAAAGGTCATAGGTGCACACGTGTGAGCAAACATATTCAGGAAAGCACAAGCACACCTGATGAACTCAAATTCACGTTGTACATTACTGAAATAATTCTTGAAAAAGGGTTCCCAAGAGTGAGCTCAGTGAAATGTGGTTATTCAAATTCCTAGGTGTTCACGGAGCACAGTGATTTCAGAACAGAGTAGAAAAATGTTTTGAGACTGAGCTTGGTTTAGTTGAGCATTTTTTCCAATATTAAGAATTACCTTCCTTCTTGTATTTACCAGTGAAGATACTAACCTGTACCTCTGGTAGTCATCTTCATCCTTGTCTTTGCTGACCAATTCATTCGGGCAGGCCACGTTTCCAAGCAAGCTGAGATACTGCAGCGAAGGCACAACCTCAGCCAAATGATCCAAAAGGCTTTCTAATTCTGTTATGTGTCAAAGGTTGTGGGTTAAGGATTCAATGACATTAATGAAAAAAGCATTTAGAGTTGCATCACTGCTGATTTAAACATACATTTCAATAACTGACAATCAAATTTAGTATGGCACTCAGGAAAATGTCACATTAATTGTTCCAAGGGCAAACAGGGATAAACTTCAGTCAGTTTTTTGGCATGGAATGAAAGAATTTAGCTGTTTTGTCATTCTTTTCTCCTCCTTTCTTTCCTAGGTGGTTCACTACAAAACATTAAAACTTTGACAAAATGATGGATGCTGTGTGGTAAAATGGCTAGCAATTGCTGGAGCCATGAAACTTTTCCAGCATGGAAACAAACAGTTAGTTTCACAGCACATTCATCACTAATATATTCAGTCCACTGGAAAATGAGTTAAAAAAAAAAAAAAAAAAAGTCAAACCACAACAACACACTTTCACTCCTGGAATATAAATGCTCTGAGTGCCACAGCAACGCTTCCATAATTACTCAATTAATATTTGTGAATAAATGCATCTTAAAGACTTCAGTGTTGCAACACATCAGTATTTTTACACATGAGGCTTTAAAGTACTGTAAAGCATAAAAGTTTTCATTAAAACAGACTTATACTTAAGGTTACATTCCTCAGGAAAAAAAAAAGTATTAAAACAAAGATTGAAATACCTTTTAACCACGGCAAGACTGGAAAACACAGCTTAGGTTTAGGCATAACAACTACACTCAACCCTTAGCACACTGCTGATGGACCAAAGCAGATTACTTTGTTAAAGAAGGTATTACAGTCACTCCGAGAGGCTCTTTCTATATATCCTCATTTACTTTACGCACAAAGAAAAGGTGGTGATTCTCAGGAAAGATGCTGTGCGTATGTCTGCATATATTCTTCAGTGTTTAAAAATTGACTGTCTTAGACAATAGTGATAATTATTCAAAACCATTAAAGGCATTTTGGTACTGTCTTCTCATCTGCTGCTGCTCCTATGGACTACAACTATTGTTTTAAATCCTCAGTTCACTTGTGTTGCTATTATTTATACTTGATTTATGTGTTTCTGTTATCTTTGTTATTTTTAGCTGATGGAATTTACTTTATTTCTTCACCTCGATATCTTAAGGGCAACAGAAGCAATGCAAAATGGAAAGAGCAGCTTCACAGTTAAAAATGTGGTCTTTTTTGAAAACCTGAAATTTTATTTTCTTTCCAAACATAGAAGTTATTACAATTACTGATTTCAATAAAATAAGTCAACCTAGACTCATAGCTAATGTTCTGTCTCAAAATCTGAGATATTCTACTCCAATATTTTGTGCAGATGAGCAAAACGGTTTGTAATTTTTAAGACAAAAAGGGCCGTTTTTCATCTGGCAAGGCCACAGTATAGAGTGCTATGGCAGCTAGAAAGCCAGATTTCATACCCTTTACAAACCAGCAGAAAGACTTCCTCAGATCTTAAGCAGCAATCAACCAGACCTTAAGAAAAAATGTCTTGTTGGAGCATTGTATGATAGAACTCTTCTTTGTTAACTAGGATGGAGACCCAGTTGTAATTTTGTGGTAATTCTCCATTTCTCACATTGGACCTCTAGCTCACACATAAGCTTTTAAAGTGAAATATTTTTTCATGGTTCTTTCAGGAAGTACGTGACTGTGATGGGAAGGTCACAAACTACTTTCCACAGATGTTCAAGTTAGAGGGTTTTTAAGAATTTCCAAAGACTTTTGGAAAAGTGTTTGAATCTGGCACCATCCCTCAGCCAGGAGAAACACTTAATTTCTTGCAGGACTGCTTAAGTTGCGAAAAGGTTCCCTGAAAGAAATAGTTTATTATTACAAAAGGCAGTTATTTCCATAATGGCAATTGCACACAGGGGGTTAGCTATTGCAAGGCTTAGATCTTATCTAGCCTTTTCTTATTAAAGAAAAAAATGTCTTTGATTCTTCTTTGGAGGAAACA